TGGTATATAATGTATTTTAATTATTCTAGAACGTTGTGTTTTTTTTAATATGTAATTTATTTTTAAATTCATTGGTTATCATTTATAAGTTAGACTTAACCACATCAGAACTGGGTTAACACAAATATTATCACTCTATGCAAAATAGTGTTTCCTAAAAGACTAATAAATTATGCTAAGCCTTTGGGGATTCGAGGTCACCTGATAGTGAAATTAAACCTAAATTATAAGGGTCAAAGTATGCCACTATGCGGGTTTCATTAAAAAGACTGTGTTAATTTATTGCATTCCTAATGAAATTAAACAAAGGAAAATTCCATCAGCACCATTTCGACAAATCCTCAAACTGAGAATACTGTACCCTATATCCCTTAATGGTTTCCCAACTAGGATTGAATTAGGAGGGACCTCAAATACTAAATTGGCCATTATAGAACTTCTGTCATTGGTCCTTTATACAAACCAACAGTTTAAAATATGACTTTCTGACCTGATTGACCTTTCCAAGAACACATTTCGAGATGCTAAAAATTTATCGACTTTCTACATAAAGCAAAAAGATTAGCTGTCGAAATATATCCCAGCTTTTTCCCTTTTAAAGTGAAAAGAAAACAGTCCAAATAATTCCTGTGGATATTATTTTGTATTGACGCTTTTTTTTATAGAGCCTAATATTTACCTAAAAAAAGTCCCATATAAAAATAAATCCTAGCCACCACACACTGGTGAGTGACACAAAATTTTAAACCACGGATCATTGATCAAACGTTGATCGTCCCTGTCAGGTTTTGATTGGCGGTTGCAAATGCATGTTACCTATAACCCCTTCACAGTTCAGTACATTTTTAGAGACACGTTAAAATTTTAAACGACAGTTAACTATGGGGAAAATGTCGTTGGTTAGATTTGAGGGAAAATATGTTATCCGATTCAATTTTGTTTTAGTCTTCAAATTGATATTGCGTAAATATTAGATGTGTTTAAATTCACAACATATCATATATATGTTGTGAAATTAAATAGACGTACATAATATAACATAACATTACGCCTTTTATCCCCAAAGAGGTCGGCAGAGGTGCACATTATGCCACGATACAATGTAACACCCACTTTTCACTATTTATATTATGAGTCCCATGTAATAGGGGGTGAGCCTATTGCCATATACCGGGCACAATTCCAGACTCCGTGCTACTACTGAGATCTTTTTAAAACACCCAGTAACGATTTGCCCGACCCAGGAATCGAAGCCGAGACCTCTTGCCCGGCGCAGTCGCACTTGCGATCACTCGGCCAATGAGGCAGAGAGATTAAATAAACGATTTTAGTAAAAACTGATCGCTTACTACACTAATTCTAAAGGCTAAATAAACACAATCATTCGTGTTAGTGCATGTAGTTGTAGATATTTTGCTCACAATTCTTTTTGCAACAAAATATTTGTTCCAATTTTTTAAAAATTCATTTTGAATTTTCTAGCTAATTTACGTAATAAATATTCCGATTTCTGGTAACCTGAAGCACCTGAATACTAAGGTGTTTATATCCCGTAATTAATTTTCTAGTAAAAAGTAACCAAACGAAGTATAATTAATTTACTGAACCCTAGTACAAGGTCAACTAATAAATAATAGAACATTGAATAGTTTGGACCAACCTTGTCCTAGGTAGATAAGGTAACCATATATAATTTGTAAGGCCTGTCCGTAACGTTAGACTGTTTATCGACCTAATAATGTCTTTGTCTTGCCCTTTTTTTGAATGACTTTAGGAAATTGAGTCTTATAGTCTTTGGTCTGGTATATAACTTTTGTGGATGTCGTTCATTGGCTTTTACGGTTCTAATTACTTATAAGACCTATGATCATAAATGGATTTATTACAACTAGGACTGATAAGTTTACCTCTACAAAGATACTATTAAAGTTACGTGTGGGATAGCCATGCTCATGCACCAATGACCCGGGTCGACTGGAGGAATACCACGGCATCACAAAAAATCGACGTGAAACTTGCATTGTATTTTACCGTGTGAGGTTACCGGAGGCCCTATTACCCACCCCCTTCCCCAATCTCTGAATACCCAATGCCTCTGGTGTTCCAGGTGTCTATGTGCGATCCGCCTACTCCTTTACCGGCTTATCCCATAAAAACTCACCAAAGGTCAACCTACTAGCATTTCATATATAATGTATAATAATTAAAATAGTAGATAATATGAATGAAGATTGGTTAATACATAACAACACTAATAATTTTTCATAAAAATCGCGTTTATACTAAGATCAACGTCGTGGATTAAATTAAAAAAGAAATGAAAACGATTTAAATAAATCCACAAAGCCTTTTGTTTCATATGAGTCGTTTCCGTCGTCCTACAATATAAATGTGAGGGTTTAAAAATAGTGCAGAATACGTAAACATACTATTGACCGGCCACTGCAACACGACAGTTACGGAAATAACTGTACAATCGATTATTATACTTTAAAACGAACTTTAAGCGTGTAATGTTACAGTTTATTGCAAAGGGCACTTTTTTACTGCATGGTACTTTATAAGTGGTACTAAAATTTGACTCATGATAGTGAATCAAAAGAGTTAAGCTTGACTATACAAAGTTAATTTGAAGGCAAGGAGGAAGGTTTAACAGAAGAGCAAACTTATTATCACTTACTCATCGTCCCGATTTTATCTAGTTTATAGATTTTTAGTAGTCATTAGCTTAGTCATATGACTTAACCATATATATTTTTTCGTCACACAACTGTCGTTAAATTCTTAAACACTTCGCAATTAAAATATCCAGCACATAACAAGCTTTCGGCTCGATACTATAAATCTTCAAGTTTCAAGCCTTTTTAAATTTCTGATATATTATGTCCATTAGTAACTGGCATATAAATTACTAAGGCGTGCAGAATATCCTTATTTAGTCACGCTACCCAGAATCAGGTCAGATTGATTAATTAAAAATATATTGGTCGAAGTTTCTTTTTCACCTTTTTCATAATTAGAAAAAGAAGCGGTTTTTAAAAACTAATTAATGGTGGCTATGAATTATTCGTGATAATTTTTGTTCGGAAATTAATCGAATTATTTATTCGGTTTCGTTAGTAGGTCAAGTTATTTTTAATTGTGTTGTGTTGAGGGCTATGGACTGGCTTTGTAGGTTTGTTAAACAAGGGCAGATATTCTTTAACACATCAATATTTTTTGGTAGAAGTCTTGTTCAAAGTCTCCAAGTCGACGTAAATAAAAAACAAGCAATCATTTTATTAAACTTAACAGCAGCCATAGCAAAGAATTTACGACATTTACAAAGACTCGAGGCAAAAAATGACCAACTTTTAGTCTCGGTTAAATGCAAATCGTCGGCGTCGAACGAAAACGGTTGAAGTGCCGAAAGTTTCTAGAACGCTCACACCACGATAAATCACAACAATATTGTGAAAATTCACCTTTTTTAACCCCCTCCTCACCTTTTTTTCACCCCTCAGACGTGGTTTTACCCCCGGCAATAGCACAAAAAGTTTTCGCGTTAAAAATTGCCAGCCTCTTGTGGTGGATCGAGCGTACGTTTTTATAGGTCCAGTTTTTGTTTTAGGTAATAACGTACATTATTTATGTTTAAGTTCTGAAGGTGGTACGATCCTGTTTCTAAGTATAAATGCCCAACTTAGTGGGTCGTGTGGAAGATAGGGGAGTTGGTGGAGGTCTTTAAAGTCTTTAAAATGGTTTACCGTTTCTGATTATTTAAAAGAAACAGTTTTTAACTTTATTCCTTCATGTCTTGCTGGTCATTGAAAGTAATATTGACTTAAAACAAAACGTGTACAAATATAGACTAAACATCTACAAACATTCGAAAACGAAAACCCAACACATTCTTGCCAAATAGGTACCTTGTTCAGCAGTCGACCACTAGATTAACGAGGCAGTAAAAACGAGATATGTCCCGAATAAATTATACAGTTACCTGTACTGTTACGTAGTATACGATACATTATTCAGGACAATCTTTCTTCTGGACATTTTTCCAACTAGACTTAGTATTGTATTCTAACAACATTTGGTAGAATAACTACAGTTTTCAACCACAGTTCAGCTGCACATTTATTCAGCACTTGGTTTAGACGTTTGTTAGATTTTTACTGCTTATTTTTGAGAAACTGTTATAACAAATGATAGTATTGAGGGCTTCATAGCTGTCTTACAAGGCATATAGATTGAGTCATCCAAAGATCTACTTTAAGAAGCTTTACTTGACAAGGTTTAGTAACCAAATTAAACTGTCAAACACCAAGCGGTCACCGGTGACCGCAACCTATTGTTCTTTAGTTGTGTCTATAAATACGGTACTCGACGAGTTAAATAAAAATGGCAGGTTACTCGTAACATAACCGCCAGAAAATGGATGTAGAAAGCTTAGTTCTTGGACATAAACTAAACCTTGACATGTTTTTATAGTAACTATGGTGAGACATACTACTAAAAATGAACGGTAAATATACTGAGAAAAGCTCTACTAGTTTCGAGTGACAGAGGGACTCTTACGAATGAGCGTGCGCGGTCGCATTAGTCGGTTAATAGGCTGCACGCCGTCGGTGGTCGCGTCGTCCGTCACCACGACCGCGCACGCTGCTCATGAGGAAGAGTGACCCGAAACTAGTAGAGCTTGTCTCAGTATATTTACGCTTCATTTTTAGTAGTATGTCTCACCATAGTTACTATAAAAACATGTCAAGGTTTAGTTTATGTCTAAGAACGAAGTTTTCCATATCCAATTTCTGGCGGTTATGTTACGAGTTGTGGTCCTTATTGTCGTACACCAGAGATGGTTACCGATTTCTAGGTACTACTGAGGATATTTAAAAAAGAATGTGCCTAAACTTAAAAACTAACTTGAAATCCCTTGCAGGCGCAGTTATAATCTTTAAGCAAGGGGTTATATTGCTAAAATCTTTTAAATAACCTCAAGAATATTTTGTCCACAGTACCTCCAGACATCATGAGTGATGAGACTTCAGGAGACGTGTCAGTCCAAGAGTTGGAGAACGCGACGTTGACCTGCAAGGCGACTGGTCACCCGCCTCCAAAGATTACGTGGAGAAGAGAGGACCATGAACCTGTGCTGCTGAAGAAACCTCAGTCCAGGGATTTTGATAAAGGTAGGAGTTTTAATGTAACAGTTTTAATTCTTAATTTTAAAGATGAACATCCACAGACTGACTGTAGTAAACGTACCAAGTTAAGATTAGGTAATATATCTGTACGTCAAGAAGAAATGTGAAACAATGTCAAACCGTGTTCTCCTAATTCAATAGTAACCTCACAGAACAGAGGTCAATTGTGATCTGGAGTAGTCAAAGTCTAAATCATTTATTTCAATTAGACCAGAAAGGCACTTTTGAACGTCAACAAAAAATTAAAAGTGAAGCTATTTAAAGCATTCCAAGGTGTAGATTCCTATGGAGAAGAACAAGCGAGAAACTCCATAGGTTACCCTTTTTAATGAGGTTCACAATACAATTGTCTAGTTACATAGTTTAGTTGTAGTACATGGGCTAGTTTTTATCCCACGGGAACACTGACTAGCTAGTAAATACATACACAAAACTACTTACGAAATTTTAAAAACATTATAGACGCTTACATTTTGTTAGTACCTTTAAATTACTCAAAACATAAACCACCTTAAACCAACAACACAAATTCCTTAATCACCGACTTTAACTACACACCACCACAAGAGAAGCTTCCCTGTCGAAGCTCAAAGCGTTTGTGTGAACATGACTTTGTTTACATCTTACAGTTTAATCTTAAGATTAAGCGCGACATGTATGGGATACCCGGGCACAGGTGGCGGAACAAATTGGTTGGTAAAGGAAACGTGTTGCTCCCATTACATGGGTCGGTGCCTACCTAAAATACTAGATAGGTACGGAGGTAAATTTTAGCAAGGATAGTTGGGTAGACTTGTGTTTGTAAGCATAGTGCTACGTTATCTGATTGTGTTTTTAGAATGTAACAATTATGATTAAAAATTAACTGTTTTATGTTAATGTAATTTTTTATGATGAGGGAATTCAAAGTTGTCTAGTTCTACAAGGTATATAATTGCTAAGGAGTAACTTGAAATTGACAAACCTAATAAATCGTTTTGGTCCTATTGTCCAAAAATTGGTCCTTTGATCCCATCTTTGATTTTGTTAAGATTATCGGGGTATATATTATATTAGTAATTATTTTGTAACTCTCTGAGAGTCTCTGTAATGAAAAAGTGATAAGATTGTACGTAAAACAATTTTATGTAACATAATGTAAAGATGTAAAAATCATAATATATGCCATTTTGTTCCTAAAACCCTACGTTTTAAAATACAAATTCGCGTGTTCATACATCGCAATACTAATCTAGTCAGCTAAATCTTTCGCAAATAAAGGGCCAGTTCTAAGGTAAGTTTGTAACTTTCGTAGCTCTGTGTCACGGCCTTGTTCTTAATTCAAAGTGGAAAATGAACGGAGATGCCGGCTTAGCCAGACATATTTATAATGTTTCCCTACGTATGTATAAATATTTACCTTGATAAGTTAACCTCACACTGTGGTTTTCCTTCGTTTGTGTTGAATCAAATTCCATACACGTGTACAATTTTATTTTATGCCTTTTAATGTCCAAAGAGGTAGACACAGTTGCAATAACACATTGTAAATTCGTTTTTGCGATAGTAAAAATATTTATGTTAGTTGTTGTCTCGGTTTCTATTCCCGGGTCGGGCAAAGTATTACTGGGTTTAAAAAAAAAACCCAGTAGTAGTATGGAGTCTGGAAATGTACCCGGTATATGGCAATAGGCTCACCCCCTATTACATGGGATTTATAACATAAATAGTGAAAAGTGGGTTTTTCTTTTGTGTGCACCTTTGTCTACCCCTTTGGGGTTAAAAGACGTGATGTTATGTTATCTTATTGTAGAAGTTAATGGGTATAAGTTAAAAGAAACCATGCATTACATTGTAACATTGTTCTAGCACAATCCAAATAACAAAACTATGTAACTAGAGAATTGTATTGTGAACTTAATTGAAAAAGAGTAACCCATAGATTACTCCATAGAGTTTCTTACTCGTTCTTCTCCATAGGAATCTAAACCTTGGAATAAGCAAATAGCTTGACTTTTAATTTAATTGTTGACGTTCAAAAGTGCCTTTCTGGTCTAGGTATTTTAAATATATGATATTGACTTTTGACTTTCTTTTAGCATTTCAATGTAATTCTTTAAAGAGTATTCAGTACCTATGTACCTCATGCTTGTAATGTGCTGTTCTCTGTAATATTGTCTGATGTATGGTGTGTGTGTACATGAAATAAAACATAATTAATTATAATAAAACTGTAAAAGTGTTAATTCTATACATTGAAAAAAAAATAGTATGTCTATCTATCTAGACGTTCACGCATTATGCTAAATCTAGCGGTTCAATTACGATGAAACTTGGTATCTTTTATGCATTTTTTATCTCAAAAAAGTATATACACAAAATCAAACTTAATCGTGCGACATTTTGGAACGAGCGCCTAGCTTTACTGATGGACAGACTGACAGACTATTATTTATTTCACATTTGTTGACGTTTCAAAAGTACCAAATTATGGTTTAATTGAAATAAATGCTTTTGAGTTTGAGTTCGATCTCTAGACACAACTACTGTACCAAACGCAAATATAAGTTTGTCGAATGTTGAGTTACTGGCAGGCTGAACGGATCGGGATGAAATTTAAAAGATCGAAGCCGCTGGCAAAAGCTAACATGACACCTAATCCAAAATACATAACAACTACTTTACACGCTATGTAAAACCATTCAACACCATCATTCTAAATTAAACTGCACATAATAATGAAAACTAAACAATAGCAACCAAATTCGCATAAACAGCTCCAACCTTTAAATGTTCGATTCCACTAACAGGTTTTCACTACTGCACGAATCGCACTCATCAAATTATACATAACCAGTATAAACTGACCGGTGAAAGTGCGGAGACGTCAAACAAAATGAGACCGTGATAAATTGGTTTAGTATTATTCGGTGTGTAGTTCTTCAGTTTTCACACATTAGTGACATGAAATTATTCAATGGACAAACATAATTAATAGTACTTAATATCGACATGCTATCAACTGTAATGTTACTGTCAGTATATTGTATAACATCAGGCTTTTGTTATACATAATAATATGTATATATACTATAAAGTTTTTACTAACTGACTGCCTCGTTGGCCGAATGGTCGCAAGTGTGACTGCCGGGCAAGAGGTCTCGGGTTCGATTCCCGGGGGTCGGGCAAAGTATTACTGAGTTTTAAAAAAAAATATCAGTAGTAGCACGGAGTCTGGAATTGTGCCGGGTATATGGCAATAGGCTCACCCCCTATTACATGGGACTCATAACATTATTAGTGAAAAGTGGGTCTTTTGTACCTGTGTATTTGTACAGTGGTATAATGTGCACCACTGCCTACACCTTCGGGGATAAAAGGTGTGATGTTATGTAATGTTATGTTTTTACTAAGTTTTTATGTTATAGAAGTCCAATGCAGACAGATTACTTGATAGTAAGTGATCGGTAGCACCCATAAAAATACCTTAGGATTTAGATACTAAAAGTACTGTTCTAAAACAGTATGCTAAAAATTGTTCTACTGAACATGCTTACAAAATTTTAAAAAACGAACGCTTGTCGATTCTTAAATATGCTTGAAATAGGTATGCAAATTTTGAGCAACATTTAAACATTCCGACACACATGCTACTAAGTGACAACGTGCTCTATTGAAACATGCTTTGATGCTTGCAATTAACTTATGTAACTGTAACTTAACATCAGATGAGTCACAAGACCAAAACACAGTTTAAAAAAATAACAGCTGAGTAATAGATTGGCACACTAACAAAGAGTTTTTAATCAGAAGTTATTAATAAACCTACAATTTCCTAAGTCTGGCATAAAAATATTTCTAATTCGTTACACAAATGAAAAGATATTCGACAGACGTCACTATTATGTTTCCATGAAGTACTTCCAATTTAAAAATGGGTTCTGACGACACTAAACTTATAATTTATTTCAAATACCTTTTAACTCTGACGTCTAACATTTCTAAGTATTACTTTAAAAATATTATAACGTCATAATCACCGTACTGACTATTTTCAGAACAATTTTGCTTTGAAAATTATAATTAAGGTGAACATTTAACATTTTATATCGACTTGTAACATCAACGTCAGAAGTTTAGACGTCATAGTTTATACCAGAATGTCTAAGAATAAGAACCTACATACGTACTTACATATATAATCAAATAAACCTACTGAGTAATGACGTCTGTACGTGTAATACCTGATTGTTTGAGAATTTGTAAGTGAGAAAGATTATATTAATAGATTCCAGCCCACGACTTCACATATGGAGAATAGGTAAAGACGTAGGTGGAAGCTAGAAAATATAATAGAACATAAATATTCATCATCATAATCATCAATAACGGCTTATAAATGCCCACTGCTGAGAAAAGCCTTTTATCACATGGATAAGGTTTTTAAATTGTATAATGTCACTATTATAATAAGTTTTAAGATTTAAACCCGGAAACCAAAAACACATGTCACGTAAAACAATAATGATTGAAATTCAATTTGAACCATTAAACGATAAATCCGTATCAAAAGACCAAACTCCTTGCTCACTATGCCAAAAACTTCAAGGAAAAGAGACGTATAAAAGGGTTGAACATAGTTTATGGTCCTTGGGGACGATTATAGAGGGTGATAAAAGAAAGTTAAGGCGTCGGTTAAAATGATACGTCAAAATAAAGAGCTTAGCATTTTCTTTTATCCGTACTGTACTCTAAGGACCAAAGTCTTGAAAGTAAGTGATGTTCAATTGTTCTTTTGAGTTGCTCTTGATGAAGTTATGAAGTTGATCAATGTTGTCGTGATAACTTGATATCCAGACACTGTTGGTCTTTTGTTTTGGCTGTTATACTTAGGGTATAATATAGGTAATTGGGCCTCCGGGAATCTCACTTAAACTGTTTTAGGTCGGTTTTCTTTGAGACCGTGGTATCTCTTCGGTCGAGAATGCCGAAGCATGGCTCTCACT